ATTGATGGGCATACGAAGCTGTCCAAGTGGTCCTATATTGCAAGTTAGGTAATGTGGCGCGCTGAACAGTGTTGTGCCCAAGCGCAGCTGGTTCGTGCTGAGTACAGTAGACGCCCTTCCCGAAGTGGGCCCTGGAGTCCACCAGCGATGCAAAAAGCTCGGCAATGGTCTGCTCCATGTTGGCCACATTGCGGAAGGCCAGCTCGTTCGTGTAGTGGTAAAGCACACAAAGGTCCCGTTCACCTGGGCCTTGTTGGTCTTCAGGATCGCACAACATTACTGCGTGTTGCCACACTTGCACCAGACCATCCGATGCTGTGTAGTCGAACGTCAGCAGCTCGTCCAGGAAGCCACTCGAGTAGAGCGAGCCTTCGTAGACTTGGCCTTAGTGGCTGTCAGGCACTGTCAGTTTCTCGCTGCGGACAGCTGCGATGGATGCTGAAACCTTCAGGCTCTGCAAGACCAGAAGGCGCACACTGTGGCGCTTCAAGCCTTGTACAATCCTCTTTAGTCTAAGGCTCGCACCTCTCAGGTACGGGCCACGGAAATACTTTGAAAGCTCCCCGCGGCCAAGGGCCTGCACTGTGCAGACCAGGCCAATGACGAAAGCAACTGAAGCCGCAAAAGCCACAAACGATGCGACTGGGCTCTTAAAGCAGCCTCGTCACCCCAAGGACATGCGTAAAGAATGCTCACAAAGCGGTCTGCGAGGAACTGAAGCCCTCCATGTGCAACCTCTACGAATCCAAGCCCCTCCGGACGGTGCCTCGGCCACGGGGTCGGCCTGGCTGTGCCGTCCGAGGGGGGTTCAAGAAATATAGGGTTTCGGGTTTAGGGTTTAGGGGTTTGGGGGTTAGGGGTTGAGGGCACCGGTACGGTTTAGGGCTTAGGGTTGAGGGGTTCTACTTCTTGAAGCTGTTGCGGAATTCGTGGCACGCGCATGGTCCATCTGGCTGGGGGGAGGGGGGGGGTGCTAGAAAATCTGCTATACTTATGGATTATCCCTTCTGCAACTGCGACACAAATTAACAGAGCCTAAACCCCCAGACCGAAGTCCCCAAAGAGCCCGAAAGCTCCAATTCCCACCATGCCTCACTCGAAGCACCGGCACTGGCCTCGGGTGGACAGGTGGAAATGGGACTAATTCATAGTGTTTCGTTGCAGAACTCAGAATCTTTTCCGACCACAGCCCATGTGCACTTGCTTCTGTTGAAGTTTTCATGTGTTGTCCTTTTGGCACACCAGGGTCTCGGCTTCAAATCCGGGACATCTTCAACAAACAGCCCCAAGCTTCGGCAAAACATTGCGACTGGAAGACTGTCAATTTGTTGGACTGCTGTGGGCCCTATAGATCAAGATCAGCTTCATGGCGAGTAAGGCGAGCCGGCTGGGGATCGGACACCGCAACCCATGGTCAGGTCAGGGCACCTGAACACGAAGGAATCGCCCCACCTCTTCGCCAGGCATCAGATGGAACCTTCTAGCGATCCTGCTGCACAGAACTTCTGGTCGCCCCAGTCCGAGACCAGACCTCGTTTTTGCATCCCTGTAGTGAAACACGGCCTTCCTACAAGCCAATACAGGCGCAAACACCGGAAGCACTGAACCTGGAAGCCTTAAACGTAAAGGTCTCAGCCTCTACTGAGCCACTGAATCCAAACTTTAAAGAACATGCTCTTCGAGCTTCTCGCAAACAAACAAACAAACAAGTAAGCAAGCAAGCAAGCAAACAAACTAACCAAACAAACACAAACACACACACTAACAGCATCCACCCCGGACGGACAGATGGAATTCTTAGAGTCACCTGCATCACAAGGAACCAAACCTGCTTACAAAACCTGAGACCCCGAAGGCTAAAACATGCAGATGCCAACGCGGCTTTAAGCTCGGGCTTCCAGGCACCTGGAGTACTTCGCATCTCCTTCGCCGGTGGGCCTCTTGAGGCCCGGCTTGGCCCAGCGGAGAGGCCGTGAAAGACGAGGAGCATCGAGGGATCACAGAGCGGAGGGCTGCAACAGAAAGCTTGGTTTAGCCCTCGGAGCTGTGCTATTTTACCCTGGGACGATGCCGGATTCGACTCGAAAATCATGCACTCACATGGAACCGAAGGGTCAGTGTGGGATGTGGACATGCGGCGGCAGTGTGGGATGTGCACATGCCCGTAGCTTGAGTGGTCTCGGCTGCGTGCACGGTCCCTTCTATGTTTTCGGATGACAGACAACGCTCACAGCTCAGTGCTCCGGCCTCTACTGGTAGCACGTTTATACTTAGACTTTGCTTGAACCGTCTTCGCGTCTTCTTACGGCTTTGGATGCATTACAGGGCCGATGGGCTCCATCTCGAGCCTCACGGGGAACCCGGTCTCCCTGACCTTTGACTGCCAGGGCCGCATCCGACGTGTCTCTGAAGCTATGACGGAAAAGAGTGGATACGGACAGTTTGTTGGCTCCAGCAAAAATAAAAGCAACCACAAATGTTCGTTCCCGGTTGTGAAGCTGCAATACGCCGGCCCCGAATGGAGTATAGTAAAGAAGGCAGCTATGCTATGCCAAATTTGAACCCTGGCCTCGCGCACTTGCTTTTTTGCTGTGAGGCTTTGACACACGGCTGAGGCCCCTCGGCCATCAGCGAGGCGCTCTCAAAGGCCTGAGAAACCAGGCCGTCACAGTCAGAAGCCAGGCTTCGCAGTCCAGGAGTCGGAAATATCTCTTCGCAGGTCGCTGGAGGCTGCAGGGCTAGGCAGGGGCCTCTCGTTCCCGAGCGCCGGACCCCAGCGCAGCTCCCACTTGAGCTCGCGGTGGCGAAGCTTGCGCCTCGAGGCGAAAAGCGGAGGCTTCACAACATCCAGCTGTGGCTGCAAAGTTCTGGCAGCGAACTCGGGTGTGGCATAGTGTGCAGAGCCATCTGCTTGTGAGACAATCTTGGCTCGGAAACTTCATTCAGGCAGACTTAACGACTTAACGAAATCGGGCGTGTAGTTTCTCTTTTGTCACTATGCCTAGTGAGACAAGCTTCGACACTTCTCATTGCGCGCTATTGCAGCCAGGTGCAGCAGTGCAGATCACATCAGCCGGGTTTTCTTTCAAGTTGGCTGTTGAATTGACCCACGGCTGCTAGAATCTTCAGAGCTTCCTTGTATGTTCAAATTCAGGAAGTCTTGCAGATTCTTGCAGACAACTGCACCGAAACGGTGGTCAAAAGCCGAGTTGCCATGGATCCTCAAGCATATACGCTCAATGTCCGTGTGGTTTACGCGCCTCTGTACAACAAGCTCTAGAATGATGACCATGGCATGCACATCTGGAAGTCTGGAAATCATGTGATCTCAACACACGGTGTCTTGAGTGCTGTACCCGGCGCACAGGCAAATGCCCGGACCCCCCTGCCAAGCCACACGAAACCAGCACACGATTTATGCAAACAAAAGATACAACATGAGCCTACCCAAACCCTGTTGCTGAACTTGGCCACACCCCGGCGCCTAGCCCGGAATGATGATGAAGATGATAATGAAGATGATGTTTCTTTGCTTTGGTGAGGGCATAGATGAAGGCTTACGTCTGTGCTTGAAACTAGGATTTTGGACCCACATGTTGTTGTCCTGTAAGAGGGCGAATACTCAGCAATTGTTGAGGGCCTCTGCTTGTACCCTGTTGCGGTACGAGGTGCTATGTGGTTGTGTACATTGCCCGTCGAAACTACAGAACTACCAGTATCGTCGTGTTAAGATGATAGCCAAAAGGCCCACAGCCCCCGGCAGGGTCCTTAAACCGGTATTAGAACAGATCTGCAATCTAAACCCTAGTAAACCCTAAACCCTAAAGTCCCTAAAGTCCCTAAAGGCCCTAAAGTCCCTAAAGGCCCTAAACCCTAAACACGAAGCCTCAGAAGCGTCGAGCCTGAGTCGTCCACTCGCCACCCTCTGGCTTCCTAAGAGGAAAGGACTGGCTTCGGGCTGCCCGCCTCAATCCCAAACTCCCAACAAAAAAACAACTCAGCCATGCAAAGGGGTCACTTTGGGTTGAGCTTTGAGGATCTGAGGAGTTATGAGGATGCAGGTTGTTTTTTTTGGGGGGGAGGGGGGGTGCCGGGACGTAGGAGTTCAGGGTTTCCCGCACGGCTAGGGCTATCCTGCAAAGCAGGGTGGGATATTATGACCATCGCTGCTCAGATACGTTTAGTCTTCGAAAGAAGTACAGCCAGTTAACGATTCTGGGAAGCCTCCCGAAAGCTCGAAATCAAAGCTCTACGGCTCGTAAAAAGATGAGATCCCTTGCCAGAGCTCTCGCATCCAGGACTGTCAAACTACCAACCCGCAACAATCATGA